CAGGGCAACGCGATGCGACGCGAAGCAGTGCGAAGCAGTGCGAAGCAAGGCGAAGCAGTGCAGAGCAGTGCAGAGAGCTCTGCCAAGCACCGTAAGGCAGTGCAATGCCAAGCACCGCACAGCAGTGCGAAGCAACACGAAGCAACGCAAAGCGACGCAAAGCAATGCAGAGCAACGCAAAGCAATGCGACGCAACGCAAAGCAACACGGCGACGGGCGGCGACGAGCCGGCCGGATCGTTTTCCTCTTTCTCCTCCTTCTCCTGCCCCGCCTCCGCCTCCTCCCTCCTCCCTCCTCCTCCTCGTCCTCCTCCTCCCTCCTCACACTTCCTCCTCGTCCTCCTCGTCCTTCTCGTCCTCCTCCTCCTCCCTCCTCCCTCCTCCTCCCTCCTCACACTTCCTCCTGGTCCTCCTCGCCCCCACCCCAGGGGGGCGGTGCGAGAACGCGAAGTTGTGCGCGGTTCGCGTTTTGCGCAGCGCGAAGCGCCAACATAGTTGCCCTTGTTTTTCTCCTCTGGAGAGGAGCTCGGGCTTCAGGCGGGGACACATCACGGGTGGGGACGACGGCTTCGTCGCCGAGCTTGTTGGCGATTGCCGTCATGCAATGCATCGTCGTCCGTCCTCCTCCGTCCTCGTCGTTCTCCTCCTTCTCTTTCTCCTCCTCCTCCTCCTCCTCCTCCTCATCCTCCTCCTCCTCCTCCTCCTCCTCCTCCTCCTCCTCCTCCTCCCCTTCAATCCTTCCTGCCCATCCACACCCCGTCTCTTCTTCCTTCCTCCTCCCAGCATCCCTCGATCCTCTCTCCCGCTCACCCTTCACCCTTCCCTCATCCTCAATCCTCCTCTCGCTTCTACCACCCTCACCAACCGCCTTCACACTCCTCCCTCCCCTCCTCCCTCTCGCTATTGCTCTTCCGTCTCACTCTCCTCCACCTTTCTCTACCTCCTCACTCCGCTCCTCATTCCCATCCGTTCTCCTCACTCCAGATGTTCCTCCATCATGCTCCCTCCTGCCCCCCCTCCATGATTCTAATTTCCGTGCTTCTGTTCCTTGTATTGTGTTTCTGTTCCTTTTGCATGTTAAAAAACTCAGCGCTGGGGGGCTCTTTGAACAAAAAATGCGTTTGGCTGCTGGCTAACCTTGATGTCAGCACCACCCCGGCAAAGCTCAGCTGACTGAGTCGCACGAGTTCCTCGACCGACCGACCGTCCGACCCCTCCCAGACATCCGACGATCTGATTCATTCAGTGTGCGGCCCAAGAGGTCCCGACCCCTCCCTCGGGAGTAGTTGCTCGCCCGGGGTCCATTTTGATGGTCCCACGGGGGCCCCCGCAAGGGCCCCTGGAGGCCGAAATCGAGGAAGCGCCGCCGGGATTAAAACAATCATGCCGTTGGAGATCTGGGCTCCTCCCATCCCCCCCAGCCGCTTCGCATCCCTTGGGCGGGGGCGAGGCGGTGACCGGCGCTCCGACCACTGCGCGCGCTGCGGCGCAGTTGGCCTTCGTCGCCCGGCTTCGAAGCCCTCCCACCGGGGCGCTCTCTGCGGCCCCGGGTGCAGTCTGCGGCGCTTGAGACTGACCTGTAAGGGCTCGGCGATCGCCCGGGCTTATCGGGCCCGCCCGCCCCCCAGGCCGAATTCTATACCCTGGTTGGACGGGCTATAGGCCCCGGCAGAGTTGGGCCATACCCCGGATTGGAGCAGTCAAGACCTCCAAAGCACCACACACACACACACACACACGAAACACACGAAACACCAACACACAACCAAACACCAAACTTTAATCAACAAGCCCCAAACCCCAAACACCAAACCCCTAAGAACAAATCCACCCCGCCAAACGCCAAACAACACCCACCCCCGAAAAAGAAAACAATCACCAAACACCAAACACCAAACACCAAACCCCAATCACCAGACCCCAAACATCAAGCCCAAACACCAAACCCAAACACCAACCCCCAAACACCAAACACCAAACACCAAACACCAAATCTCAACACACAAAACAGAAAACACCAAACGCCAAACCTCGAACACCGAACACCAAACCCCAAGCCCCAAACCCCAAACTCCAAACCCCAAACACCAAACCCCAAGCCCCACACCCCAAACCCCAAACCCGAATCACCGAACCCTCGTCTTATTTTTCCTCCTCCCTCATTTCTCGTCGTTCTCCTCCCTCCTCGTCCTCGTCGACGCGGGACTTACCGACAGCTCGCAGGCAGGACGGCGTGCCTGGGAGGGGGCAGGGGGGGGAGGAGGAGGAGGAGGAGGAGGAGGAGAAGGAGGAGGTGGAGGAGGAGGAGGAGTAGGAGGAGGACGAGGAGGGGGGGGAGGACGAGGAGGGGGAGGACGAGGAGGACGCGGAGGAAGAGGCGGAGGAATACCTTTGGCTAGGGATGGGCCGGCTGCGGTTCCCAAATCGTTCCTTCGGGCCACAGTCTGGAGATCCTGTTGTTGCCGAGGTTCGCCGTGGCCGTCAACGCCCCTTCGCTCTCTATTATGTCCGTGTCCTTCTGGCTCATGAAGGAAAGGCGTCCTGAGGGAAACGGGTCCTGGAGGGTTTTCGCCGCTGTCGGGCTCCGGGGATTCAGCGGGCCCACGGATTCTTTTAGAGTTCCTGCGGGTGTCTTAGATTTCAGTAGGGTTCCTCAGCATTTTTTGGGTTTCCCTCAGGTTTTCTTTGAATTCGTTTCAGGATTCTAGGATGTTCGAGGATTTCCTCAGGATTCCAGTTCGGCGCATTCCTGTGGATTCCCGAGGATCCTTAGGCCTTAGGGGTTCCTTAGGAAGCCTGCGGGTTCTTCAGGGTTGCGTCGGATTTCTTAGGATTCCTTGGGGATGTGTGGGGTTCCGTCGGATTCCTTCAGGGTTCTGTACGGATCCTGTTGACACCGTATACGATTCACATATGAATCGCATGCAAATCACAGTAGTCACAGACGAACCTCATAGGGATCGTATACGGTTCACATAAGAGTTGTATACGAATTACATGGGAATTGTGTACGAATCACGTTGGTTTCGTACGCGGTTCGCATACGAGTCGTCTACGATTCACATCGGAATCGCGGCCCACATAGGAAGCGTATACGATTGACATGGGAGTCGTATGCGGCTCACAGAAGAAGCGTTTACGATACACGTAGGACCTGTATACGATTGGCATGGACCTGTCGACGGTTCATACGGTTCACGTAGCACGCGCGTGCGGCTCACAGAAGAGTCGTCTCCGATTCACATTGGAGTCGCGTCCGTTTGAAACAGATTCCGTATACAACTTACGAACCGTATATGATCCCCGTGGAATTCCCATTCAAGCCACGTGCGTCTCGTACAGGAGTCACAGGAACCGCACGCGTTTCACATTGGAGTCGCAGACGAGTCACGGCGGCGTGTACGATTCGAATCGGAATCGGTTACGCTTTACAAAGAATCGTATACGACTCGCGTGGGAACCGCATACAATTCACATGGGAGCCGTTTAGGATTCAAAAAGAAGTCGTACACGACCCACATCGGAATCGTATACGCTTCACGTCGGAGTCGTTTACGGCTCACTGATGCATCGTATGCGTTCCACAGGAATCGTATACGATACACACGGGATACGTGTTACATCGGACCCGTGGACCATTCACATAAAATTCGTATGCGAATTACACAGCATTCGTGTACGTTTCACATGGAAGCCGTCTATTCTACATTTGGGAACCGTATACGCTTCACATTGGTTTCTTATGCGATTCACATTGGGTTCCTATACGATGTTCATCTGATTCATTTACGATTCACATCGGAGTCGTCTAGGATTCACATTGGAACCGTATACGTTTCACATAGGTTTCGTAAGCGCTTCACGTAGGAGTTGCAAGCGACTCACATCGCTTACTCATATGTATGAGTATACGATTCACATAGGAATCGCCCGCTCAGAATATTATTGCTGCGGGTGGGCTATCCCCTAGCTGTTTTCCAAGGGAACCACGCCAGCCCCTTAAAGGCACACCACTGGCACTCCAGAGTTTCTAGAGATCGCTCACAATCGAAATTCATTGCGGAAGGTCTTCCGAAGCTTATATTCCACAGGGGTGTCCTCCGGTCAACCGGGGTTCAGACTATTGCTCCTCCCGGACAACCCAGGTCACCGCAGATGAATAACAATAGCCTCTTTTGGAAGGACTTGTTTGGGCCAGGCTCCATGCCTGGAGCGCCATCAGCGGCGAGCGGGGTATCATTGCTGGACGGTTGGCGCGGGGCGTGTGCCGCTATGGGTTGCTAATCAGTTGCCGCTAGCTGCCGCCAGTCCGCCGAGCTTTTGATCAAGATAGGTTTTTCATAGAAAAAGGTGCAGTCAAGACGCTGAAATAAGGACCCTTGGGGTTCGGAAGGGGCTCGATATGTTCCTTAGGTCATTCCGTGGTTGTTCCTCTAGCCCTCCTCGTGCATCCAGGCTCTGGTGGTGCCAAAGCGGGGCTTCGTTCCTTATTCAGCGTTTCTCATTCCAGACATGCGATGTCTGCATTTTTCTATACGGAGTCCCTAGAAATCGCGACCCATTCGCTGGTGTTGGTTTCTGATCGCGGGTTGGTTTTTAACGGTCCCAGGTCCCGGTGAGGGCCCCCAGAGGCCGAAAGCAGCCGAAAGTTTCCCGTCTCGATTTTCTTAAAACGCGATCATGTCTGGGATTTCAGCAGCCCGCTTGTACTCGGACGGGGCTGGGACGAGGATTAATCCGTTCCAGAGCGGGCCCGACGCTCTCAGAGCGTTCCGGAGCGGTCAGAGAAGGCCGCGGCGCCTAAGACCTTAGCCAGATCCGGTGGGTCTCAGAGATCCTCGATTTCAACGTCTTAGATTTCATCCCCGCCCCGTGTCGTCCCCGAGTTCTATCTCTCAGACTCGATCCTCGATTTCTATGTCTCTCAGTGGCCTCCTTGTCTCACTCGGTCCTCGTCCTGGCTTCGCCTTACACACCGTGCTCCGCGTGGCAGCCCGCCAGGCACTGGGCGCCCGGCTGGCCCAGGACTCGCTGCCCGAGGCCTACCACGAGCTGGCCCGGGCGCTGCGGGCGTCCTGGGAGGCTCGGGCCGTCGCCACCTGCTGCGGCTCGCCTCCATCTCGGTGCTGGAGGATGAGGGGGAGTGTGAGGAGGGGGGAGGAGGAGGAGGAGGAGGAGGAGGACGAGGAGGAGGAGGAGGAGGAGGAGGAGGACGAGGAGGAGGAGGAGAAGGGGGAGGAGGGGGAGGACGAGGAGGAGGAGGAGGAGGAGGAGGAGGAGGAGGAGGAGGGGAGGGGGGAGCAGGAGGAGGAGGGGGAGGAGGAGGAGGAGGAGGAGGAGGAGGAGGAGGAGGAGGAGGAGGAGGAGGGGGAGGGGGAGGGGGAGGAGGGAGCTCCGGCTCCTCTCCTCCGCCTCGCCCCTGCTCCACCGCCAGAGTGTGCCCGCGTCCACCGCCCGGGCGTCGTGCCCCAGGACCTCGAGGAGTTCGGGAGGGGCTTCCCTCCGACTCGACTGCGGATTGGGTCGATTCATTCACACATCGGGTTTCACAGGTGTCCAACCCTCGTTAACGAAAAGGGAGCGTGCACGAAACCCTTTTCCAAACGACAAGTGGGTTGCTTTGACTGCGTAGGCAGGTGGCGCTGCCGCACGCGGAGGGTTCCGCCTGCCGCGCATCGCTTTCCATTGAACCCGTGGTAGTTGGCCGTCGTGTTTTGCCATGTTTGCGCGTAGCGTAGCATGTCTGTTGCAGTCCCTGGCGGTGAACAGTGCAATTTCCATACAAAATCCAGAGCGGGTTTGGAGAGCCCCAGGCGGCCGCAAGGAAAGGGAGAGGGGAGCGCCTGAGGACGTGGCTCCAGGATGGTCACAGGAACAGGAGACCTTCGAATGAGAAAACCCCTCACACGGCGACAGTGTCGGCGGATCCTCCGTTGTCGCCCTATTCGATCTGTACCTGCGGTGTGTGCGGATGTGCGGATGTTTCCGCGGGTGGGATCCCGTCAGCGTATTATTCCTCCGTCGTTGTTCGAAGGCCAGCTGTCTCTTCTGCAGTAGACAACGCGCTGACGACTTTCCCACGGCGGCGTGTCATTGACCAGAGATCAGAATGAGGGGGCCCAGCGGTCTTACGGCAGGTTCGTGTCGTGCCGACCACAGCGTTGGTTTTTGACACCGCAGGGATCGTTCAACCTTGAACGATCGGCCGCTGCCGCAACGTCCGATCGTTCAACATCGATCGATTCTGGGTCGCCGGCGGCGTTCAACCTTGAACGCCCGCGCTGGGGTCGCCGGTGGTCGACACGACGCAAACCTACCGTACACCATCCGTGGGTGCGTGGTTGAAGTGAGATTCCGTGGCCCGGATGACGCCTGTTGCTGTTGATGTTGTTGTTGTTGTTGCTGTTGTTGAACATTATTTATTCTAAAGAATGATTATTGTTGGGCCCCCTGGTGCGCGCCCCCCCTGCGCCGCCTAGGCCGCAGCTACATTTTCATCATTTTCGTGAGGAAGCCTCAGAAAAGAGGGTGTGTACAGGATCCGGTTGTTTTGTTGTAATCCGCTTTCCCTTGCAAAAAACAATAGAAAATGACATTTCTTGTTCTAATATAATCAAATTTCAAGAATCCCTTGCAAAAAATAAGGTAAAGTGGACATTCGCGCGCGCAAGACGAAATCCTTCCAAAACCTTAGTGTTCGCAGCGATTTTAACATACAAACATCAAAAAACCAATGGTTTTTCAACAAAAAACTGTCAAAATCTCATCCCGCGCGCTCTTGCGGATTCGTAGGAAACCCAACACTTTTTAAACATTTCTGTCAAACGGGCTTTTGCGAGCAACTTTTTCGAACTTCTGCGACAACGGTTGCGCACCTGCCAGGGCCATCATCCCTGTCAAATAATACCATGCGGGACACATTCGTTTTTTCTTCGCGCGCGCACGCCGAAATCTCCAAAAACCATTGGGCTTCTTAAGAATTTTAGCACCGCGCATCATAAAATCACACGAATCGCACCGTAGGTCCTCGAAAAACACCTGCACGACTTTTCAAAATTTCTACCCGCGCGCGCTGTCCGAATCCTAAAAAAACCAATGGTTTTCCAACATTTATGTTACATGAGCTCGCGCGAGCTACTTTCGCACGCTCTTGCAACGGGTGTGGGTTCACAAGTTGTTAAGCCTTGTGGGTTCACAAGGCTTAACAACTTCTGTGGGTGTACGAACGTAGGCTTAACAACTTCTGTGGGTGTGTACTCCACGCCAGTGTAGTAGCCACGGTCGTCCGCAGGCCACGAAGTGAAGTGTCCGAACGTCATAGGGCGGGAAGCTGGGTGTGGGTGGTGGCGAAGAGTCGTGTGGATATTTGGTAGAGCTTGCACTGCCCCCCCACAAAGTGGGGGTATTGGCTGGCGTCGCATGAAAACCCTGGCACTGGTGAGAACACTGAGCGTTCGGGTAAAGTGATTGTTGTTGTTGTTGCTGTTGCTGTTTGTTGAACACTATTACTTCTAAAGAATTATTATTGTTGGACCCCCTGGTGCACGCCCCCCGCCCAAAACCTAGGCCGCAGCTACATTTTCATCATTTTTCTGCGAAAGCTTCAGAAAAGTGGATTACCCCCGGATCCGGTTTTTTGTTGACGCTCGTTTTCCCTTGCAAAAAACAATAGAAAATGAAAATTCTTGTTCTTAGTTGATCAAATTTCAAGAATCCCTTGCAAAAAATAAGGTAAAGTGGACATTCGCGCTCGCAAGACGAAATCCTTCCAAAACCTTAGGTTTCGTAGCGATTTTAACATAAAAACATCAAAAACCCAATGGTTTTTTAAGAAAAAATTGTCAAAATGTCCTTCCGCGCGCTCTTGCGGATTCATAGGAAACACACCACTTTTTAAACATTTCTGTCAAAAGGGTCTTTGCGTGCTACTTCTTCAGGTGCTTTGAACTTCTCCAACAACGGTTGCGCGCCTGCGAGGGCCACCATCCCTTGCAAAAAATGAGACGAAGTGCACATGCGCGCGGCCGCCGCGCGCGCATGTCGAAATCCTGCCAAACACAATGGGTTTTCAATAATTTCAAGATGCGATGTTCAGAAAACATATGAAAACGCACTACTTTCTCATCCGAAAAATCTCGAAATCCATTCGCGGTCTCTTGATGAATCTTTAAAACCCAAGATGGCCCTGGCCACCTTGGACGTATTCATTGCGTACCACGCGGCCTTCATGGGTACGGACCCGCAGAAAATGGCCCTTTGGAACGTATCCCCTGAGGTCGGCACAGAGATCACGTATCCGCGTCAAGACCAGTGGTGGTGGTTGCCCGTATGGCGGTCGTATGGTCAGAGCGACGAGCTTCCGAACATGCTCGATTACCAGGCCTTGCCACCGCAGGTCCACAACGTGCTCGCGGTAGCATTGCCGTATGCAAGCACCGGCCTTCCCGCCAGCAGGCGTATCGGCAATCTCATTGGGCATCTGGGACCGCACGGGTATCAGCCAGGCCCGCACGTGTATCAGCCAGGCAGCCGGGCACCCACGCGCCCGCTCCGCGCCATCGCAGACGACGATGCGTCGCGCCTTTAGTATGCTTCTGGATGCGAAGACCATTCGGTTGAGTATACCCCTACGTGTGACTGGACCTGTTTGCGAAAGCAGGAGAAAGTATGGCACCCCTTTGTGTCCAGAGCCGCGCCGTCTGCGTTCTTCCTTTCTCGCTTCTCTCCTTTCCTCCTTGTCCTGCTCCTCCTCCCCCTCTTCCGCCTTGGAGCCGTATTGGAACTGTCGATGGCCATCTCCCTTTCTCCCTCGCATGTCTGCTTGTACATACGTATAATTTCAGAACTTACCGTGCATGCGATCGTTTACAACATGGTGGACCGTGCGTATGTCACGAACCTTGTATACATGTGTTTCTCTCCCTCCGTCTGGCTGTGCACGCGCGCGTTGGGCACTGAGAGTTAGGATCATAGCGCCATGAGTCTATGAGCAATGCATGCGTCATCCTTGGGACTGTATAACATCAGTGTAACACATGTACTTCTGTAATCGCATCCCCACGAATTTGCCCCAAAAATGTGACCAACTATCTTGGCACTGCGTACCATCTCACGTGTACCGTGTACCACATCATATGTAACAGATGTGATCAACCTCTGTGGGTGTGTACCCCACGCCAGTGTAGTAGCCAGGGTCGTCCGCACGCCACGAAGTGAAGTGTCCCAACGTCATAGGGCGGGAAGCTGGGTGTGGGTGGTCTCGAAGAGTCGTTTGGATATTTGGTAGAGCTTGAACGGCCCCCCCACGAAGTGGGGGTATTGGCTGGTGTCGCAAGAAAACCCTGGCACTGGGGAGAACACTGAGCGTTCGGGTAAAATGATTGTTGCTGTTGTTGTTGTTGCTGTTGCTGTTGCTGTTGCTGTTGTTGTTGCTGTTGCTGTTGCTGTTGCTGTCGTTGTTGAACACTCATTATTGAAAAATAAGTATGGTTGGTTCCCTCCTCTGGTGACCACTATATTGTTGAATTAAAGTGCTTCCCCCAGGGCTCGCACCCTGTTTTTCTTATCAGGGCAAGTCGCGGGGCTCAAGCTGTGTCGTTGGCCCCCGGTTTTCAACAACAGCTGCCCTCGTTTTGTATTTCCTCACAGCTTATTCCCAAATCGCATTCTCGCGCGGGACTTTCTCAGAATTTGTATACGAAACGCGCTCTCGCATGGCAATTCCTTCGCAGTTGATTCAGACGATGCGCCTTCGGCGCTCAGGAATAACGCTCTCGCTTTGGCTTTTCTCACGATTGACCTGGGAATCGCGCTATCGCTCGAGACCTCCTCGCAATCCATGCAGGACCCACGCTTCAGCAACCCGCCTGCTCGACCTGGTCGCCTGGGCCAGTCTTCCCGACCTACCCGCTATGGGTCTGCCCACCCAATTTGCCCGTCTGGTTTTACAATTTGTTTTCTGCTCCTTGCCCCCCTCTTGCTAATTTCTCTCTCGCTCCATTCTTATCCCTCCCCCTTCCGCCCGTCTTCTCCTCCCTTGTTTTAGGGGCTGCGCTAAATGTGCGTAGCAGGTAAGGAAGATA